TATTAAAAGAAAGAGTGACAGAGAGAGGATGGAAGAGAACTACATGCTCTCTCTCTCTCTCTCTCTCTCTCTCTCTCTCTCTCTCTCTCTCTCTCTCTCTCTCTCTCTCTCTCTCTCTCTCTCTCTCTCTCTCTCTCTCTCTCTCTCTCTCTCTCTCTCTCTCTCACTCTCTCTCTCTCTCTCTCTCTCTCTCTCTCTCTCTCTCTCTCTCTCTCTCTCTCTCTCTCTCTCTCTCTCTCTCTCTCTCTCTCTCTCTCTCTCTCTCTCCAAACTTTAAGGAGAAATTATATTTTTATGTTGTTCACTTCAAACATCAAACCAATATCTTAATTTTCTCGCTGTGTAATTTTTTTCCGTAGTTTTCTCGGTCAGAATGGAAATAAATTGGTTTACGCATTGTAACTGTACACATTATAAAGTAAACAGAATAAATCAAATCCAGTTTGTACATTACGGTACAGACATCTCTATGTTGTAAAGCCTGTCTAAACGTATTGAATTCTTAATTTCTGGTGAAAGAAGCAAATCTCCTTCATTTTAACAAACGTTATGTGGGTAATGCCATTTTGATGGTATAAGCTTTCATTTTGTGATTTTACAAAGATCCCGTCCCCTAATGTTATAATGCGTTTTGTTAAGATATATTACGCATTAGGCAACTCAAAGGACTAAGGCAGACTCTTGTTCTACAATGCTGCTAAGGGTATGGTTAACCATAGCAAAATCTTGATATATTTACAACACAACTTGACGTGTGGAATTCAATACACGCTTAATATCCTTTAACAAAGACGGGTAAATATTCTTTTGATCCAGAATTAAGAATCATGTGCACTATTGGAGAATTCTGTCAGTTGGTTGCTGGTATTTAATTACAATTACGGAGACTGTTTAACTTGTATAACTTGTTTTTATACCGAGGGAGACGGCGATCATTTAACACGGGGTGGGGGTGAGGGGGGGCTGTCCATTCCATTTTAATCTCTTTCTTTTTACGAGAAGCCCTCTTCTTTTGCTATTTTTTAGGGGATGGTACTGTACCGTATCATGAAATGAAATACATACAAATCATATGGAAAAACATCCTGTTCCTCTATTAACATGAAAAATAGAGCTCTTTTCGTAAAAAAACTGAGTTTAAAATGAAAATTCCGTTTCATTTTAATCTAATTTTTTCATGAGTGTTGGCATTTAATTAAAATTACGAAGATTGCTACATTTGTATTTTATTTTTATATGAGCGAGACAACAATCACATTTAACACGAGAAGGGGGAGGGTCTCACTTTCATTTCAGCCTCATTATTTTTTCGAGAAGGGTTCTAATTTCGCTCATTTTTAGAGGAAAGTACAGTCATGAAATGAATCACATTGAAAAAAAAATATGAAAAATATTATGTAACTCCGTTTTCATGAAAAATGAACCATGGAACTTTGGACCAACGCAGTATTCTGTTATCTATACTTCATGAAGGCGTTCCTCTATCTACTAGTATTGTTCAAAAGACATACTGAGTAGCACATTTTAATACAATTTATCATTAGTCACAGAAGCAAAATAATGAATTAAGCTGTAACATACAGCTGTTTCGTCCTTCTAGGACTCGTCATTGATGTGTAGGGTCTATAGTGTTGAAACCTACATAAGGGACAACTGAGGAAGATCGAAATTTGCCTAAATCAATGTCGAAAACCTAATGAGTGAGGGGTGTACCAATTTGAATAAATACGGTATTATATTGGTATTTTGATTACCATCTGACCCCAAAATTCAATCAATTTAATGGTTTGAAATATTGACTTCATGAGAACATCATGTAAATGTGTATATTCTCAACCGTGCCACAATTGAATGAATTCAAACGTTGCATGTTGCTATCGCAAACGTTAGGGACTTAACAATTCACAGTAGTGCCTACCAACTGTAATATCAAAGCGTTCCGTACTGTTTTGTTCGGGTTTGATCTTGGTTACATAATCGAGTGCTAACCCTGCAAAGAAAGATATGGAAAATTTATCAAATGATTGCAATTAAACAAATTAATATAAAACTACTTTCCTGTTTTTCCTTAAATGTTTCTGAAAAGAATTTTGTCACGCAAACGTCATTTTGCTGTATTGCACGTTATCAGCCTGTTAAGCTTATTAACAAAAGAGATGCTGAACGGTATCCCATAGTATAAACAGTTTAAAGTGTTCTCTTGAGTTTCTGAAGAACTTAAGCTACCCCTTAGTCTTCTTTGATCAAAAACGACAGTAGAATACCGACATATCATAAAAATATCATTCGAACTTAAAATGAATAAACAGAGGAAAAATGCATGCATGAACAGGAGAAAAAAATATACAAAACCCTTAAACAAGTGACGGATAATAAGATCAGGTATCCGGAATTATATTTGTTGTCGGGTTGCGTATTAGACGTGAACAGGTATTGGCGCCCTTGCTCGATCACGTGTACTTTCCTCGGGTCTCGCGCGCTTTATTCCGCGCCACAAGAACAGTTTATATAAGCTCATAGCTTGTAATGTTCAGTGTTGTCTTCTGTTTCATCGAAGACACTCGTCATGTAAATTACGTTAAATCAAGAAATGTGACTCGATATTTTTTATAAATGACAATCGAGTGAATTTTATCGGAACCACAAGGTATATGATGGGCGTCGAACACATCTAGAACTTATACTGTGCTCCCGAAGTACTAGCCGTAGTATGACAATAGATTAACCACGGACAAAACACATTAAGTTACCGCTAAATTTTACACCATGGCAATTGTTAGGTCCCAAAATAACCCAGTTATACTCATATTGAGTGAATCCATTTGTTCAAATGACAAACGAAAAGAAATCGTGACTGGAATAATAAGACAGGAATGTATAGTAACCACATCGATTTACATTTCTGAATTGGTTCAAAACTTGAAATATTTAAGAGTTTTTCTCTCTTTTTTTTTTTTTTTTTTTTTTTTTTTTTGTTTTTGTTTTCTTTTCTTTTTTTTTTTTTTTTTGTCAATTTGCAGATATATTACTTCAGAATGTAAAAAGTAGATTTTCGAATATCTTGTAAACAGATACTATGATCGATTTACTTCACATTTCATCTGTTACTGGTTAGACATCGTAATACAATAAACAATGTATGATAAAAAGCTGTACTATATACCTGTGAATTCGAGTCACAAAATCTTTGGTGACGTCTGAAGATTTTGATGAAACGGCAATACACACCAGCTGATTACATTATTACGTCACAAATATTTGGCTGTTCCGTCAGTTGTCAGGTTTTTACGTCAGTGCGTATTACGTCCTATGAATGACTATTATCATTTTTACGCAGCATAAATAAAACAAACAAACAAAAAACCCAGATGTTTGCTTATTGGTGTAAGATAATGAAAATCGAGATAAGTGGTAATAAAATAAGATCTTGTATTTACCTGTGCAATATCACAATACAAATGTACATTGTAGAGGGACAAAAAATGCCGTCTGTAGAACAAAAGTCTCCATAGCAACAAAACATGCATATGGCTTCCACATTATTTATTTTTCTACATAAACAAAAAAAAATCAATAAAAATAGCGCGAATTTTTTATAGATAAAAAAGTCCAGTTTCACAGGGAAACAAACACAAAATGTATTAAGCAGTGAACTACGTTTTTTCTCAAATTATATCTGATCGAAAACCACCATTAATTCGGAATATTATTATTAAAAACTGGGCTAGCAACATAAATATATGACGTAAAGAATGTTTACGTTGAATTTTGTTAGACACTAACAGCACAGAACGAAGTTATCGGCTAGATATATACGTGACTTTACCTTATAACATATTGCTTCTCAATTTCAAGGTCACAACATCCGGTACATAGATATCAGGCGGTAAAGATGACATACATAAATTTAAACAAACATGACCTTGAACATACAACTACAAAAAAGTTGAAGTCAATTTATATTCATAACTACGATGAGAAATGTGAGGCAGCATTAAATTAATTCACTGCTTTCTGTCACCTCGGAATTTAAAGAACACGGAAAACACGCATCTGTGCTCCCTATCTTACCTAAAGAAATACATGTATATAAGACTTACATAGAAGCATAAGATAAATTTATTTTGTGAAGTCATTTGGGGGGAAATGTTAGTGATTCAACAGGACGCAATTAAGACCAGCGTAATGGTTTCTGTCGTCCGTGCACTTCTGACAAATTGCCTTAAATTGCAGTGATCATGGATTCGTAAATGAAATTGAGTCGGGTTTTGTCAAAAAGATGAAAAAAATCTGTACAGTGAATTTGCTGCAGCTTCTTACAATAATTTGAATTCCTCGACGATGAGACGAGATTTGTAATACATAAGTAATCCGTTTCACTGATCTATCTTATCTACCTATTGATTTTCTTATGGCCGTAATCAATTTCATCTATCACGCGTCTTCAATCGTTTGAGGTTTGTAATGAAACAGAAAAATACTCATCTAAGGAGATCGTCTATTCCACTGGGCGAAACACGAGATTAGAAAATGATCAGTACCAAGACCAGACGACTGTTTAAATGTATAACTTGTCTTTGTTGTATTTCTTTCTGTAGAATGAGCAGTCGAAACGATACAAGTTGATGCCAAAAAACAATTTAAATGAAATACTGGTTGCCAATATTATTCTAGACCTCTATCTAGCTAATAGAAACTTACATAGGTCTATTGCTTGGACAGAGACATCTCAACCCGAGCGTAAGATATCAAGCCAAGAAAATACCATTATGTCTTACTAAAAAATGGGGGAAAATACATGTTGTGTGTTGTTATAAAATGTAGTCTTCTCGCCTTCAAATGTGTCCCTTTTGTTACCGCTCTTAGTGTTCCTCTTGTTATCACACATTGTGTCAATCTTGTTTCTATTCTTGGTTTCCCTGCTGTTTCCACTCTCTGTGTCCCTGTTGTTTTCCACTCTCTGTGTCACTGTTGTTTCCACTTTCTATGTCCCTGTTGTTTCAACTCTCTATGTCCCTGTTGTTTCCACTCTCTGTGTCCCTGCTGTTTCCACTCTCTGTGTCCCTGTTGTTTTCTCTCTGTGTGTCCCTGTTGTTTCCACTCTCTGTGTCACTGTTGTTTCCACTCTCTGTGTCCCTGTTGTTTCCACTTCCTGTGTCCCTGTTGTTTCCACTCTCTGTGTCCCTGTTGTTTCCACTCTCTGTGTCACTGTTGTTTCCACTCTCTGTGTCACTGTTGTTTCCACTCTCTGTTTCCCTGTTGTTTCCACTCTGTGTCCCTGTTGTTTCCACTCTCTGTGTCACTGTTGTTTCTATTCTCTGTGTCCCTGTTGTTTCCACAATCTGTGTCCCTGTTGTTGCCACTCTCTGTGTTCCTGTTGTTTCCACTCTCTGTGTCACTGTTGTTTCTATTCTCTGTGTCCCTGTTGTTTCCACTCTCTGTGTCACTGTTGTTTCCACTCTCTGTGTCCCTGTTGTTTCCACTCTCTGTTTATCTGTTGTTTCCACTCTCTGTGTCCCTGTTGTTTCCACTCTTTGTGTCACTGTTGTTTCTATTCTCTGTGTCCCTGTTGTTTCCACTCTCTGTGTCCCTGTTGTTTCCACTCTCTGTGTGACTGCTGTTTCCACTCTCTGTGTTCCTGTTGTTTCCACTCTCTGTGTCCCTGTTGTTTCCACTCTCTGTGTCCCTGTTGTTTCCACAATCTGTGTCCCTGTTGTTTCCACTCTCTATGCCCGTTGTTTCCACTCTCTGTGTTCCTGTTGTTTCTACTCTCTGTGTCCCTGTTGTTTCCACTCTCTGTGTCACTGTTGTTTCCACTTCCTGTGTCCCTGTTGTTTCCACTTCCTGTATCCCTGTTGTTTCCACTCTCTGTGTCACTGTTGTTTCTACTCTCTGTGTCCTTGTTGTTTCCACTCTCTCCTTGTGGCTGTTGTTTCCACTCTCTGTGTCCCTGTTGTTTCCACTTTCTGTGTCCCTGCTGTTTCCACTCTCTGTGTGGCTGTTGTTTCCACTCTCTATGTCCCTGTTGTTTCCACTCTCTGTGTCCCTGTTGTTTCCACTCTCTGTGTCCCTGTTGTTTCCACTCTCTGTGTGACTGTTGTTTCCACTCTCCGTGTCACCGTTGTTTCCACTCTCTGTGTCCCTGTTGTTTCCACTCTCTGTGTCACTGTTGTTATCACTTTCCGACTCACTGTTGTTTCCACTCTCTGTGTCCTTGTAGTTTCTATTCTCGGTGTCCCTGTTGTTTCCACAATCTGTGTCCTTATTTTTTCCACTCTCTATGTCCCTGCTGTTTCCACAACCTGCGTCCCTGTTGTTTCCTCTCTTTTTGTCCCTCTTGTTTCCATTCTTTGTATCCCTGTTGTGTCCACTATTGGTGTCCCTATTGTTTTAACTATTTGTGTCTCTCTGTGATATCGTCCTTGAGAAGTGGCGCTATCATCCTTTGACCCTGTCATCATATAACTGTATGTGGCAATTATCGTGAACGTTAAAGATCCTCCAATATAACTGTGAATTATTTATAAATCTATACATATTTACAAAAGGTAACGAAGAGAGAGCAGAGATAATTTATCAACATTTTCAAAACAGTCCTTCATCTTTTTATTTTATTTTTACACATTTTATTGTGCTAACACAAAAGGCATGCATATACAATCACAAGAAAGTATCATTTCAAATATTAAACACATAATAGTTCGATGGCCTTTGAACTAAAATGTCTTCTGTTTATTCATCCTATATTTTTAAATTATTCAAAAATTGTTTTCGGCCTTCAGTGACGACATGATAGAGCCCGCTAATATATGACGTCATTTCCTGTTTTTGTGTTTTACATACAGGACTGGTTGCAAACTGCGAAGTGTACTTTTATGTTTAAGATGGTGATATTGATGAAACAGCATGAATTTCTCCATCGATTTGAAATCACGTGGGATCAATTTGATTTTTACGTTAGTTTTGTTCTATTATCTTTTTAATGTAATAATTCCTAAAAGTGTATATTTATTGCCTCATTCTCGACGCCATATTTACTATATGTGACCGTTTGATGCGGATCCTGATAATTCTATATTTTTGTTTACAATAATTACTAAATTCATGGCGTAGAAAAAACCTTGAGTCATTATTTTTAAACAAAGCCCAAACCAAAATGTGTTCAAACAATGTCTGACATATCCTAGTCTGTGCAAACGTCTACTGCATTTTAATAAGAAACTAAATCCGTGGAAGCTATAGGCTATAATTAAAGGTATTTGGATGTCACTTAGAACAAAGTATCATAAACGTTAAGAACATTTTTTTCACATTTATATGTATTAAGTAATATAACTATACAATTTGAAGACTTATCCGGATACAGAAGCGATATGAATTGAACACCCAATAATGCACGTCTTTGAAGGTCAGTCACAACATTTGATAGTGGGAGTAAGGACTCGAGAAGATGACGCCAATGTGTACTCACCAGAATAGATAATTATGCATTATGAAAAGACGGAACAGGAAAGAAAAATACATCAGAATTCCTCATAAGTCATTCAAAGGAAGATGATTTATTGCTGAAAACAAATATCGAAAGAAAGGAAATTATTCCATATTGATATGGAGGGTACTTATACATAGGTGTCAATAACGGTTCCGTTTGGATCCGTCACTTAGCAGGACATTTTAACATTCTACTTGCATAATGACGTGACTTTTGATTGATCATTATTCTTGACTCCGAATATCGAATTCAAAATTTTTGGGTCATTATGCAATTATTCATAATGTGAACTTTATAATGACCATAATGACCATGTTGAGTACAAAATATGGAGACAGAAAAGTTTATCACAGTGTAGGGATTTTTTTTTTCTGAAATTGGTATTAGGAACAGCTTTTTTTTTTTTTTTTTTATTTTTTTTTTTTTTTTTTTTGGGGGGGGGGGGGGGGGGGGGTATTTTGATTTCTTCATTATTTTTTTTTTACCTGTTACCACGCTTTTGTAACAGATGGCATGTTTTGCCCAAAAGACACATTCCCATAATTATTTTGTTTGATGATGGAACGCAAAACCATTTTTGTATTACTATGATCACTAATCAAGTGGAATAATCCGTCCTATATTAATTGTTTGGTAATGAATTTGTGTGTTTTTATCGATTCAAGCAATGAATTAATTTGCATTCTTGAATACGGCAATCAGTTTCGTTCGGGATAAAACCTAATCTTGTGTAATTTAAGTCCTGGATCTATAGCTATTTAATCGAGACGGGAATGTGTAACAGGTTACACTAGTAGACAGCCATTCTACCAGGATGTGTAAAGGAACCTAAGAGCACAATACTATCGTACTCTAAAATTCCATTAGTCCAATATCATCTCAGACTACATGACGTAATCAGACTTTGTCAGATCAAATAACAGTAGACCACATTGTTTGTACATTATACTGACTGGTTAATGACAGTGTGTAAAATGACATTGATCTATAATAGACCCTGCAACGCTGTTCATCATTTATATTGAAATTAAGCGTATATTCACTGTGGTCAGAAACTGTGATCGCAACACTACCCCTTTACTCATTCTAAAATGACTATCTTAATCTAGATAAATTCGTAATATCATTAGCAAAAACTGTATGAACTTTGAATATATGATATAGTACTTTCTCCATCTGCCATTGACAAACCGTGTCTTCATTGTGAGCACTTTATATATGTGTGTGTTTCGATACGATTTAGATATGTTATAATAACTTAAATACTGCTTTATTACTCGACTGACATAGTTACAATGAAAAGTAAATACATTAGCAAATACTCACTTGGATTGACCTAGATTTACATGCTAGGTGTCGTTGACGAGACAGAAGACGCTTACTCTTCCTGAACATCTGGCCTTCTTCTGCTAGCACTTTTTCAGAAGTCTCAATTGTAAATCTGAATTTCGTTCATAGTTTGCCCTAGTTTTATTGAATGTTAGTTTGGATTATGATTTCGTTGATGTGTTGATATCTACTTGTTTTTTTCCTGGAGCACAGGCGACCGATATGTGAGACTTCGTTGATAAATTTCCAATGTTGGTGTTTTGTCGGGTCTCGTAAATTCAGTCGAAGTAATCCAGTCTTTCGTATACATTACAATATCGATTATTTGTTGGCAAAATGCTGTATAACTTTGACGTCATCTGATTGATAAAATCAAATCCCAAATTCTTTTGGAAGCATATCCTCTTCTGTGGTGGTATTTGATTCTAGCTCTCTCAGCGGAGCGTTTTCCGTTTTCTGTTTTATATCAAATCAAGCAAACGAAATCTGCATAATTCTGTCAATGAAGGGTTTATTTTCGAAGATTCTTTCACCAAAACACAGTTAATTTAATAAATTCTCGTAGTTTGAACAACACTGATACTTTTAATGCTTTCATTGATAACGTTAAAGACATGGATTAAAAATTTACTTCCACTAAATTGTTTTGCCCAACAAAATTAAACATATGTAAATCAAACTAAGATTGACGTCTTAAATTGACGTCACTACAGTAAAACTTGAACCCGAAAAAATATTCTTCAGGACATAAACAATTTAGAGAAGTCATCTTGGTGAGGTTTTTTTTATTTTTATTTATTTTTTTTTTTTTTTTTTTTCTGTTTTTCTGTTTAAATGCACATTAGTTCATAGACTTGCGTGAAATCAGATAACCTTGAACAAGCCAAGATCGGAACAACCGCGAACTATTTGCACTGTGAAAACAACTGTGCAGTACTTTGTGCGTTCACATCATACTGGTTGTCTTACTTTGGGGTATTTGCCTTGAAAGTATAACGCTAAAATACGATTGCGGTATATATCGCTTCGTTGTGTTTACTTGCCGAAAAGTTATCATGCGCTAAATCTGATTCTACTTAACTAAGTTCACATGAAATATCTGAAAATATGGTATTTGTCACACTAGTATATAAAATCTTGAAATTGATTTGAGATTTCAAATCCTGGAATCACAACTTCTCTTCATTTTTAATGGATCTATATATAAGGTACCATTCTCCCAGCGTTTAAAATGACGCTTTTATATAAGACCCGCCTTACCTGTGTGCATGTATATATTGTTGTAAAATGGTAAACCTGTTTCTGGAATGTCAGCAGTCATCTTAGTCAATTTTAAATTTGTAATATAAAGGTAATTATAATCTGAAATGGTTTATTAGAAATGCATGAATAAAGTTGACCTTACCTAGTTTATATGTGTAAATATATGTAATCTAGAGTCTCCATTAAAGAATAATTGGTAGTGTTATTCAAAGTAATCATACATCAAGTTAAATACAATGATATGAACATATATCTCGCTTTCACTATAAAATTTAATATGGATCTTGATTCATCATGTTAAATGTGCCAAGATAATATCTACATCCCAACAAAGATAATGGCTATTTCACGAGTCCATCTCTTTGTGCCGAAAATGATACGAGATCGTGAAACAAATACAACCAAACATTTCGTACGAAAGAGTGTAGGAAATATAATCCACTGTACAGGTCCTAATTCATAAACAATAAACAGTGCAATATTTTATTGATTCGCTATGGTGCCGTGCTCATTGCTTCGCGATTCGAGGTAATAGCACCAAAGTACTTTAATAAAAGATACGGTTGCTAAGCCTGGTCATCGTTGGACGCTGTCGTTACCTCGGTTTGCGCTGATACAAAGACTTTACACATTAACTTAATAGACTAGCTAGCAAGTTCGATTGAACAGGTGCAAAAAGTAACAGGTATTAATCGCGGCATTCAGACAACGCCGTGGCTCATTAGATAGATAACATAATAAGATATTTCCTGTCTCCATATCAACGGACGTTTTTATTCTCCTATCTTGTCTACCGGCTGTTGTCTGTTTGGTCGTAGCGTACCTCATCATTGTGTCTTTAATTAACGGAACTCCGTTATCGATTCCTGGTTTCCTCTGACTAATTTGTAGTGATTGTTACGACGTCTTTTGTCTTAGTACATGTAGTTAACATCAACAACATTTAGGGTCACTTAGTTCATCATGTTCTGATGACGAGAATATAATTTATCACAAAATTGCCATCTGATCATGAGATGTGGCAAGATCTTCTAACAAACTGTTGACATACCTCTGTGAACTAACTGTGTTGGCTATGTTGGCTGACTTGTTGTTTTCATGACATGCTGAATTTTATCGAATTGCTCTTTAAAACTGGTCACAAACACCTTGCAAAGCCCTTTTCATAAAACTTTGATATATGATGATAACGTCTTGTCTTTGGATAACAAGAAACTAATTGACCTCGTCCATCATATATACTCACCAGAATTGGAAATTATAGTGTTCTACAT